ACGTCGGTCGACAGTGTGGGGAGGGGCGTGGGGTGAGGTCGCAGGCGGAGCCGAGCCCTGACTCACTGTGGTGAGCGCGGCTGAAGACTGGTTGGTGGGACTTCCCACAGTTTGGCCTTGACCTTGAAGGCACACATCAGAGCTGTTGGGTGGCCTCGGCGCCAGTCCCGGGCTCGCGTGTGGTCGGGCGAAGCCCCGCCGCTGGGCCCTCCTGCGCTTGCTGCGGTCTCTCCCACAGGGCAGCGTCCAGGCGGGCAGGTGCAGCTGGCAGGGCCTCTTCTTTCCCCAGGGTCCAGAAGTCACCTGACCGCACCCTCCCTCCCTAACACCACCGCCCCCTTTCTTCCAGGCTTCTCACTGCACTAATGGAGGCCGGACCACCGGGTGGGGCTGGGGGTGCTCTGGGGAGCCTTGTGGGCGTTATTTACCTGTTCCCTGCCCCAGGCACAGGTCTTTCCGCTCCGGATCTGGTGGATAGGGGTGTTGGGAGGGCAGGGTGGGACTAGGAGCGGAGGAGGAGCAACTCCAGGGCTAGAGACTTCTTTCCATCTCTCTCACTCTACTCTGTATCTCTCACCCTCCCCGCCCCTCTCAGGGACCTCACCCTTGGGAGCCACTGATGAGCCTCCTCCCGCAGGCCCCTCCACGACTCAAGGGGCCGAGGGCCCCCTGGTGCAGCGCCCCCAGGAGCTGAGGGAGCTGAGGGTGCTGGGCAGAGACGAGATGGGTCGCCTCCAGGTGGCCTGGACTGCCAAGCCCAATACCTTTGACCACTTCCGGCTGCACCTGCAGGTGCCAGAGGGGCACGGGGTGCACGAAGAGCTGCTCCCAGGAGACTTCCGCCAGGCTTTGGTGCCCCCACCCCCTTCTGGAGCCCCCTATAAGCTGCTACTTTATGGGATCCATCCTGGGGACAAGCCCTCGGTTCCCATCACCTACCAAGGCATCATGGGTACGTCCTCTGCTGGCCTGAGCCCAGTCCTGAGATCAGGGGAGGAGCTGGGGCCCTCAGGACTTCAGAGCTGGGGATGTTAGTAGGACAGGGCCTGGGAACCGAGCCCTGACATCCCCTCTTGTTCCCCTCTTGGGACCAGGGTGGTTGCCTCTCGCCCCTGTTCTAGGTCAGGCTGACCAGTGAGAGAGTGGGAGGCAAGGGAGAGAGTAGCTCTGGTGGCTTCAGAGCCCCTCAAGGCAAGAGTGTGAAGGCTCAGAACTCTCAGTCAGAGCCATGGGAATCCTGAAACCCCTGAGAACCTGATGTGCAGAGGAGTCAGGACCTTGAGAAGGGCCGGAGCACTGTCACAAGGGCCCCCATGCTGAGGGCCGGTAGGGGGCAGAGGCTTCCAGGGAGAGGCTGTCCACGATGGATGAGGCAGGCAAAGGTAGGGAAAAGGGAAGGAGATGGTTGAGTCCACCTTGATTTGGCCCCAACTCCAGATGAGGAGGAGCCTAGGAGCTCCCCGGTCTCACCTCGCCTGGGGAAGCTGATGGTGACCACGGGCCCGAGCTCTGACTCGCTGCTTCTGCACTGGACGGTCCCTGAGGGCGAGTTCGACTCCTTCGTGATCCAGTACAAGGACAAGGACAGGCCCCAGGTGGTCCCCGTGGAGGGACCCCAGCGCTCAGCCCTGGTCACCGACCTGGAGAGGGGCCGCAAGTACAAATTCATCCTTTACGGGCTTGTGGGAAAGAAGAGGCACGGCCCCCTGGTGACTGAAGCCAAGATCTGTGAGTGAGGGGCACAGCCCTGTCCTCTTGCGGTCGAGGGAGCTTGCTTGGGGTCTGGGGGTGCTCACTGTGAGCCGCGCTGGGCGGAGGCTGGGGAGACGGAGTGGCCCCTGGGGAGAGCAGGTTGCCGTGGCCTGTCTGGCTCTTCGGGTGCTGAAGGGCCCCAGGGAGGAGAGGTGCGTTAGCGTTAGAGGATTCCATCTCACCACCCTGCGGGACAGACCAGTCCCAGGAAGACCAGTCTGCAGTAGCCTGGCTGGGTCGGGCAGAGGGGGAGATCAGGAGGCCCAGCAAGCCCCAGCTTCCGGGTCAGACAGTCCTGCCCTTGGGCAGGGAGCAGCGGGAACCTAGATGACACCTCTGGACCTTAGGAGTCAGAGTTTACGATGCTCACACTCCAAACAGCAGCCCACTCTGTGGCAGGAGACTAGAGGCCCTGGGAGGGAGAGGTCACTCAGCTGAGTGGCAGGGCCTGGCCCGAGGGTCACCCTGACACCCTGGTGGGTCCGGAGCACAGACCTAGGCCTGAGGGCTGCGGCAGGGGTAGTGCTGGCGGATGGGAGCTGGGAACCCCGGGGCACACAGCTCAGCAGGGACAGCGACCCCCATGGGCAGCCCGAGAGGTGGCCGGGAGGGGAGGGCAGAAGCCGACGAAGAAGGGAGGGGCACCGTCTGGGCAGAGTGATTCAGGGGTCAGGGGCTGTCCACTTGGCAGTGGCTGGGTGGGAGGGTGGTGGAAGGCAGGACGTGGCTCTGCCAGTGCAGATGCTACCTTCTGGACTTGAGGCCCAGAAGGGCACGGGGGGACAGCCGAGGCTGGATGGAGGGCACTGGTGGGCCAGCTTGGTGCTGGATCTCTCCGCTCTCTGGGGAGGCACCAGCTGGAGGTTAGGCCAGGAAGCAAGCAGCTCAGACGCTTTCCCTGGCTGCAGAGATGCGCAAAGGCCCGGCTGGGTGCGCCCTCTCCGAGCCCCGCCCCTCAGTTGTGGGTGGAGTCAGCGCCACCCTACAGTGCTTCTGTGCCACTTAGGATTCGCTCTTTCCGGCAGGTGGGAAAACTCCTCCGCAGGACATGCGGCTTGAGACCCTGGCCCAATTTCAGTTCCTCTACTCCCTTGGCCACCTACCTTCATGTAGTGAGCAGCCTGTGCAACTTGTGTCATTGCATCCTTGCGTGACAGATGAGTTTCTACGTCTCCTATGACCTCCTTTGTCTCTCTGTCTCTTTTAGTGCAATGGAAGGAACCCAGCCCAGAAAGCCCACCCCACCTGGGGAATCTGTGGGTAACAGACCCAACTCCACACTCCTTGCACCTCACTTGGACTGTCCCGGAGGGCCAGTTTGACTCCTTCATGGTGCAGTATAGGGACAGGGACGGACGCCCCCAGGTGGTCCCTGTGGAAGGGCCGGACCGCTCCGTCACTGTGTCTGCGCTGGACCCTGAACACAAATACAAATTCTCTCTGTTTGGGGTCGCCAACAAGAAGCGGTACGGCCCCCTCACGGCTGACGGCACTACGGGTGAGTGGCTGTCCCGGGCCCTGCACAGCTGTCCTCGGCCCAAGATCCACCCACTCCTGGATCCTTGTGTCCCATCCAGCTGCTCCCTGAGGCCCGGGAGGCATCCCGGGAGCCCAATGCAGGACCCCCCCTCTCCAGGAGCTGCATGGGCACCTTGGTGCCCCTGGCAGGCAGCGCCTGGCTGAATTCTCCCGTTCACAGCCCCGGAGCAGAAAGAGGAGCCGCCTCCCGAGCCCCCAGAGCAGCCCCTCCTGGGGGAGCTGGTGGTGACCGGCGTGACCCCAGAGTCCCTGCGCCTGGCGTGGACGGTGGCCCGGGGCCCCTTCGACTCCTTTGTGGTGCAGTACAAGGATGCGCAGGGGCAGCCTCAGGCGGTGCCGGCCAGAGGCGACGACAATGAGCTCTTGGTCCCCGGCCTGGACTCCAACCGGAAGTATAAGATGAACCTCTATGGGCTTCGTGGCAGGCAGCGTGTGGGGCCGGTGTCTGTGGTGGCCAAGACAGGTGGGTCAGAGCCACAGGCCTCCCTCCCCTGCTCCAAGCACCCTGAGGAGCCTGACTCAGCTCCCTGCCCCTCAGCTCCTCTCCTCCCTGCTCTCCTGGTTCCTCTGTCCCTGCAGCTCCTGATCTCTTTCTGGGCTCTGCACCATCCCAGCCGGGAGCAGGTTCTGTGTCCCCTGCCCCACACACCTGGACTCCCCAGTATTCACATGTGCGCACACATGCGCATGCTCACACACGCACACTCCAGGCCACCCTCCCTGCAGAGTTCTTGCAAAGCACCGTGTTCTGAGTGTCTCCCTGGCTCAGACCCTGGCTCTTCTGCACCTCCCATACCCACTCCTTCACCCGGCTGGGCATCGCTGCTGTGTTCAGAGGTGGCAGACGGGGGGACCAGGGCCCTCCTCAGTTTTTTCCCACGTGGAGAGGGCGTTCGCTTGCAGCCCCACCCCATCAGGCTCTGTGTCCATGGCCCCAGAGACCCCCCCGAGGGTACAAGTGTGACCGCTCTTGGGGTTTCAGACAGTGGAGCCCGCCCTTGCTTACTGCAGCTGTGCGGCCTGCTGCACATAGCACCCCACTTTCCCATCCCATCCACAAGTGGGGTGATAGCGGCGGCCCCTTCGCAGACCTGTTAGGATAATTAAGTTTGGCCGCTGCCACCGTGACCGCTGCCCCTTCTCCCACTTTCCCAGCAGCCTCCTTCGGCTCCTCCCCGCACTGCCTCCCCCTCACCTGCTCTGTTCTTGACCTCCTGTCCCCGTGGGGCTCCTAGACCAAGGCGGGGACAATCTCTCCACCCCTGCAGGGCACAGTGAGTGGCAGCCGTGGTGCCATTCATGCCCAGCCAGCAGGGGGCAGCAGGGCCCTCAAGGTCGGGCTGTCAGAGCCCTGCCTCAGCCTTCCTTCCTCAGGATTCTCTGGGGCAACCGCCTGGGAGGCCTTGGAGGCAGCACATTCGGCATCCCAGGCTGGTGAGAGGGGAGCCACAGTGCCCAGGGGGGGCACAGGGTGGAGAGAGGCCTCCTGCCCCCACTGCTGCCAGTGACACAGTGTGGAAGAATCTCCCAGGTGTCCACTTCTGGTGTCAGCCCCTTTTTCCCCTGCAAGGGCAGACAAAGTTGGACAGGACAGGTGCAGGGCTGGCCCAGCCTCTCCATTCAAAAGTGACCCAGCGACAAACCCCAAGCCCAGCAGCCAGCCGGGAGGCCCCTGTCTGCTCATGAGCTGTATTGTCCCCAGTGGTGACACCACAAGGCGTCACCCTGAATGTCCATTGCCCTGATCTCAGCCCCACAGGAGACCCCCAATCCCACAGAGCCCACCACAGAGGCCATAAAAACCCCGAAGGAGCCACACCTGGGGGAGCTGACCGTGACCGACACCACCCCGGACTCCCTGAGCCTCTCCTGGACGGTCCCCGAGGGACAGTTTGACCACTTCCTGGTCCAGTACAGGAACGGGGATGGGCAGCCCAAGCTGGTACGGGTCCCGGGGCACGAGGACGAGGTCACCCTGTCGGGGCTGGAGCCGGACCACAAGTACAAGGTGACCCTGTATGGCTTCCACGGTGGCCAGCGTGTGGGACCCGTGTCTGCTGTTGGGGTGACAGGTGAGGGGACACTGGGAGCCCTGGGGAGGGACCCGTGGGCGCTGACTCCCTTGTCCTTGGCCCGAGCAGGGGTGGTGGCAGGGTCCGGTGACGGTCACTGGGGCTGTGGGCCTCTGTCCCCCCCAGGATGACTCTGTTCCCGGGCAGGGAGGGCATCGGGGCCTTTGCTGCACTGGTGAGCGCCTGGTGTCCCCGGCTGCTCCGTGAGCTCAGCCAGGCTGTCTGCTGTCCCCAGGGAGACACCCAGGCCCAGGGGTGGCTTCTCTGAACTGACCCAGGTCCCCACTGGGGGCCACGGCCTCTCCCTCCTGGTCCCCGAGACGCGAGGACGTCACCTGGGGACCCCCTCACCCTCTGTCTCCCCTTGTCAGCTGCAGAGGAGGAGACCCCCAGCCCCACAGAGCCCAGCACAGAGGCCCCAGAACCCCGCAAGGAGCCGCTCCTGGGGGAGTTGACAGTGACAGACGCGTCCCCAGACTCCCTGAGCCTGGCGTGGACGGTGGCCCAGGGCGACTTCGACTCCTTCAGCATCCAGTACAAGGACGGGGCCGGGCGGCCACAGGTGCTGCGTGTGGGGGGCGAGGAGAGGGCGGCCACCGTGAGGGACCTGGACGCAGGGCACAAGTACAAGATGAACCTGTACGGGATGCACCAGGACGGGCGCGCGGGCCCAGTGTCCATCGTAGCTGTGACCGGTGAGTAGGTTCAGTTCCCTCCTTGTGTGGATCCCCACCTTGCCCATGGCCCATCACCCACTTCTGCTCTTGGGAGCCAGGAGACCTGGCCTGCTTGGGACTGGGGTGACAGCCAGCTTTTGTGACCTGCACCAGACTTCCTGCGCCTTTGTTTCCTTGTCTGTAAGTGGAGCCTGACCCCCACCTCATGGAACTGTTGTGAAGATTAAATGAGTTACCAGATTTAAAGCAATAGGAGAGGGCCTGGGACGCAGGAGACCCACCCTTAGGGCTCCCTCCTGGACCAATAGTTGTCCTGTCTCCGGGGCCTCTTTGTCCCCTTTGGATCAGAATGGACATCAGTCTTTGGCCTATCAGTGTGGCTCAAAACTTTCTTTAACGCTCATCCAGTGAGTGACTTTACAGCAGGGCACATCCTTTCTGCCCCTCTCAGGCCACTTATGGGGCCGCCTCAGCCACCACAAGGGATACAGCCTGGGCACCTACCTCCTCTCTGGGTCCATGGGCAGCAGTGCTCTGGGCCCCTCTTGCTGACTGGCAGGAGCGCGGTCACAATGAGGGATGTTTCCTTTTCCCTCTGTCTCTGAAACACATACCTGTTTCAAAAACATTTTCTATAATGGGAAAGGTTAAGATTTTAAGGGGAAAGAAACAGGTATGTTTCCAGAACATGGTTTCTATACCTCCACAAAGCTCAGCTTCAGTGACTTGGTTAGCTTTTTTTCCAGGACTTTCTACCCCAGTTTTTTTTTTTCTTTACCTCAGTCAGCCCTGAGAAGAGGGAGATGGGAAAGCCACCCGGAGTCTCCTTCTCAGGGCTGTCAGTAGCAGGGTGGAGGCTCATGCCAGGCCTAGAATGTGCTGCCAGGATCTCTCCTCACAGTAGGCTTTGTATAGCCCCGTCCCTGGTCCCCCGGGTAAGAATGGGCTCCGTCAGGTGGTGCAGAAAATGAAAATCTATAGTTTTGAAATTTTACAAACTAAGTTCCACTCCTGAATTCCCCCTTTCTTAGCTACCATCTTGAAAAACTCATATCCTCTCCTCAGACCCCACTTCCTCATCTTCAAGATGGGAGCCAATCCAAGAGGTAGTGTTGTAACCCATCTGGTGGGCCTTGGCCCCCTGACTTGCTGAGCCGCTCTTGTGGAGAGAATACTGCAGATCCCTGCTCTCGTGCCAGACATTTCGAAAATGTATCTCACGTGTCCTGGACAAAATGGAAACGGCCCCAAAGAAGGAAGGAGCTCAGTGTTCACTGTCTGGGCATGGAGTGCTGGAGCAGCAGGGCGAGGGCTGGCCGGGCACACTGCACGTGCCGTGCCATTGCTAGGAGGAGGAACGCGCAGTGCCAGTGAGCGGTGCTCCGGGACTGGGGAAGGGCGCTCCCCAGCGCTGTGGGGGCTGTCGTACTGGTGAACGCCACGGTGTCCCCTTCTCCGTGAGGCCAAGCCCTCAGCACTCAGACTTGGCGGCGAGGCAGTTTCTGTCTTTTGTGGAAGGGAATACAGAGAGGGCAAAGCAAGCATCACGTGGATGCTATGGGAGCAGGCAAGGTAGAAGGCAGAGGCAAGGAAAGGAAGAGTCAGGCCTAGGCCCGATTCAGTATGTCTCGGGCGCTCGACCCCTGCAGCTAACGCTGTCCCCTCCCTTTCCTCCCAGACTCATTTTTATCTGCAGAGGCCTGATCATCAGCCAGTTTTTTGTTTTTGCTTTGCTTTGCTTTTCGGTACTGGGGATCCAACTCAGGGCCTTGTGCTTGTGAGGCAGGCGGCGGCACCACTGAGCTAAATCCCCGGACCCAACAGCGGCCAGTTTTAAGCAGGTGTCACCTGTCTGGAATCCGTCCTTGCCCTCCCATGGAAGTCAGAGAAGCAAGCTCTTGGGGGCCCCACCCAGCCAGCCACCCCTCCGCCACTTCACCTCTGTACCTTCCGGTTCCACCTCTAATGAACGATGCACCTCCCTCCCACACTCAGCTCTCCCTGGGGTGGCAGGGACCTGACCCAGACCTGCACGCCTCTCATGCTCTTGACAAGAAGCACCTGCTGAGGACCCACTGTGTGCTGGGCATGGGGACATGCAGTGAACTAGGCAGTGCCCTTGGCCGGGAGCTCTTGTGCCCATGAAGGGAGGCTGGCAACGGAGTTACCCAAATAATGCCAGTGGTACCAGATGTGATGCGGGCAAGAGCTGTGGAGAAAAGCAAGGCCCGTGGGTGAGATGGTGAGACCTGTCAGAGGGCGGTGTCAGAGGAAGAGCTGAGGGAGGCGGAGGACGCGGGGCCTCTGAGCACAGGGAAAAGTGAGTGCCAGGCTCAGCGGGCGGCGATGGCTCCCAGGGGGAGCAGGGTTTGGAGTGGAGTAGGAGGAGGGCAGGCGGTCGGGCACGGTGTACGCCATCCCCTGTGGGACCTCAGCGGCTCTCGCTCTGAGTGAGCCGGGAGCCAGAGTGGCAGCAGGGTCCCTCAGGCTGCAGGCCCAGCAGACCAAAGAGGAGGGGATGAAGGAGGGGTGATGGGGCGGACTCTCCCCAGCCCGGGAAGAGCTTGGAGGGGGCCGTGGGGGTGGGAGGGGGGCCAGACCCCGGGAAGCAACTACGTGGGGTTCGAGAGAGGGCGCAGGGGTGACTCCACGCGTCCCTACCGGAAAGCCGAGGTTTATTTACCAAAGCCGGAGGCTGTGCCGGGTGTGGGCCAGGAGCCCAGGAGCTTCGTGTTGGGCTTGGTGAGTTTTAGGCACCAGCAAGGGTTCAGGGGAGACACAGCAAAGTGGAGTCAGAATTCAACGCGGAGGTCTGAGGGGGATGAGCCTGGAGCCAGAGACACAGGTGGAACGGCCGGCTCTGCCCGGGGTCTCGGTGACAGGTGACCCCCTCCCCAGCAAGGGCAACCCCAGCCCCGGCAGGGACAGAGACATTGGACAGTGCGCCCTTCCATCAGAACCACCCGTGGGCACGGTTACTACCGAGGGAAGGGCCCTCTCCTCACAGTCCCCTCTCCTCTGCCCCAGCCCCACAACCAGAAAAAGCGGCCCCTCCAGCCACCAAGCCTCCCCCGGAGCCACGCCTCGGGGAGCTGACAGTGACCGAAGTGACCCCCGAATCCGTGGGCCTCGCCTGGACGGTCCCTGAGGGCCAGTTCGACTCCTTTGTGGTCCAGTACAAGGACAGTGAAGGGCAGCCGCAGGAGGTACCTGTGGCCTCAGACCAGCTTGAGGTCACTGTCCCCCACTTGGAGCCTGCGAGAAGGTACACGATGGACCTATACGGCTGGCATGGCCATCAACACGTGGGCCCCCTGTCCGTGGTGGCCGAGACAGGTGAGTGAGGGGACGCGGCACCTCCCCAGCTTCCCCGAGCACCCGACCGGCTCCACTCGGACATCTCGGTCTGCTCCCCAGACCCCAGAGAACCTCCTCGGGCCTCAGTTTCCCCACCCTGTCTCACCAGCTGGATGCCGACCTCCCTTCGGCCTGGGCCAGTCTCTGTGTCTTTCTCTTTTCCCTCTCCTCTGGCTCCCATTGTCCACAACTGTTCCCTGCCTTCTGTTTACAGCTCTGCTGTGACCTGGTCCAGCTGTCACCTTCCAGTTGCTCCCCTGCCCCCCAGGTCTCTTCCCAGGGGTCGCCCTGCCTGGCCCCAGGGTCCTGTTCCTCTGTGCCCACCGTTTCTTCCCTCTAGGGGGCAGCCTTCTCCTTGCTCCTGGCTCCTTCCTGACCATACGACTTCCTGGGCGTAAAAGTTTCCCATGATTTTTGTATCATAGCATCTGATGGTACCCCTGTTCCCTCTCAGAGCAATGAGTTAAGACCTAGGAAATAAAATGTGTAAGATTACAAAGGATGCCGATTATACTGATACACCACCAGCCTTCACAACCAGCTGTGGATCAGAAATTTTTTTTTTTAAATTAGGTCTGTACTGGGCCAGGGATTTAGCTCAGTGGTTCTGTCACCTGCTTCTCAAGCACAAGGATCTGGAAGGACCTGGTACAATCCCTGGTACAAAAAAAAAAAGTCTGTACTGAACAGATCCAGACTTTATTTCTTACCATTACTCCCTCAGCAGCGCAGCATAGCAGCTGAGAGGTGGGAAGAGAAGCATCTCCTGCCTTAGATACTCTGCAGACGATGTGCTGGGGTGTGCTCGGGTCCTTGCAGATACCGCATCATTTTATAGCAGCGGCTTGAGAAGCCTCCGGTTTTAAAGTCCACAAAGGATTCTGGAATCACTCTATGTCGATACAGAGGGACAAGGGTACAATTTAAAAAATGTTTCTTAGAGGGCTGGGATGTAGTTCAGCAGTGCAGCACTTGCCTGGCAAGCATGAGGCCCTGAGTTTGATTCCCGGTATCAAAAAATAAAATAAAATAGGGCAGGGATTTAACTCAGTGGCACCATGCCTGCCTTGCAAGTTGCAAGTGCAAGGGCCTGAATTCAATCCCTGGTACTGCAAAATAAGAATAATAATAATAAATCAATTTCTTAGAAACTCAAATTTGAGATTTGCTGATAGCCTTGGTAGCATATTTAAGAAGGTACCATAGGCCGGGCATGGTGGCACAGGCCTGTAATCCCAGCACTCGGGAGGCTGAGGCAGGAGGATCACTGTGAGTTCGAGACCAGCCTGGGCTACATAGTGAATTCCAGGTCAGTCTCAACTATACAGTGAGATCCTG